AGCACTGTTCTTCGTTGTTCATCGTTTTGCTCGAACGGGCCCAGTAAGTCTTCATTGTAAGACTTGTTGTTACTGTGTCTGGCATATCGAATATGTCACGGGTAGCTTGCCAGGCTCTGCCATGTGGGCGAGATACTCTCGGTAGCTTGCCGGGCTCTCTGGGAGGGGGTGGAGCAATCTAACCCTGCTCGGCACGGTTGGCTGGGTGCAAGGCAAACGCCCTACTGCTGTGCTATCACTCCAGCCCCGTCAAAATACAACAGCCTCTATATTATTCTATAACAGTGACATCTCCTAATCCCACAATTTCCCAGATTTGTCTCATCTTTGGTATCATGAGGGTCATTAAAAAATACTGGTGTCTGGCACATACTCCAGACACTATGATATGATTGGTATGAAATACAACTTGGCAGAGGAATTTTTAAATAAAAATTTGGTTACAAAAATTTTAACTTTTCTTTAAATGTAAAGAAAAATTATTAAGATACTAGAGTTTCCACATCCTGCACAAATACGATGTATTGGTCACAATCAGTGAACCCAATATTGATATATATTTTCTCACTAAAGTCCATATTTTATTCAGATTTCTTGAGATTTTTAACTTTATGTTCTTTTTCTGTTCCTGGGCATCACCGAGAATGCCATAGTATATGTTTTCAGTACATTTTCTTAAGCAACTCTTGACTGGTCATTCCTCAACTCTCCCTGGTGTGGTGTTGATGGCCTTGATGGTTACTGAAGAGTCCTGATATTTGGTTCACAAAACGCTGAACCAAGAGTCATTTAGTACAGAATGACTCAACTGGGCTCCATGTTGTTTTGCTTCTCATTATTGGGCTTCATCAAGTGATATGTGGGGAGGAAGACAACAGAGATAAAGTGCTATTTCCAACCCTTACCAAGAGCACATGCTACCATTGTGATTTATCACTGTTAATGATGACTTTGGGCTCTTGAGAGGAATTATAACCCCCCCCAAAAAAAATCTGTGTAGCAAATAAAGAAGCATTGAAATTTAATCTAGAATAGAAAATACATATCCATGAGTCAATGCTCATATGAACAAATGGTTTACTAAGTAAATAATTAGGTGAGAATAAACAAATAACCCTTGTCAGAAGAGGTCCAATCACTGTAGTAGTGCCCACCTCAAGTAGAACATATGTCTCCTCCTTATGTGTGGTCTGTGTTAGTGACTCTCTTTTAGAGACACCATATGGAAAAGACAAGAAAAGAGTACCTTTAAGAGGGAAATCCAATGGGTTCCAGTATTGTTTGGGGACCACCAATTGTGCCCAATGGGCCATGCAGTAAAGGTAAAGGTAAAGGTAAAGGCCCTCCCTTTGATCGTCGATTTGCTCGAGCGGGCCCAGTAACGTCTCCATTGGAGACTTTGTTGTTACTGTGTCTGGCATATCGAATACTCTCGGTAGCTTGCCGGGCTCTCCGAGAGGGGCGGAGGAATCGAACTCGGGTCGGCCATGTTGGCCGCGTGTAAGGTGAACGCCCTACCCGCTGTGCTATTGCTCCAGCCCCCTACTGCATGGCCATGTCTGGGCCATGCAGTACACAAGAGCAAATTCAGGGCTACACGTGGCAGACAGGATTTCCACCACTTGAATTCTTTCCTTTGCCCCCATTCCTAGTGCTTTTATTTTAAAATAGTATCAGAAATAGACATAAGAATGCTAGGCTATTCACCCTCCCAACCCTTTCTCTCTCCCTCCCTCCCTTCATTCCTTCATTTCCCCCCAAGCCCCCCCCCCCCCCCCCCCCCGCCAACCACCCACCGTCTTCTCTCTGGGGACTTGTTTTATTGGTCCCCAGTATCCCCAGAGCATGCCCCATACCTCTCTAATTTATTACTCTCCCCTTGGATTATGTCAGCACCTTACTGGTTTCTTCCTATTGTCCCTTGAACATACCAGACACAGCCTTAGATCAGAGCTATGCACTTGGTATTTCCTCTATCAGGAATCCCCTCCCATGAGGTGTTCACACCCTCATTCCTTTATCTTATTCAGCTGTTCGCTCAAGTGTCACCCTTGGCCTTTATGACCAAAATTGCAGCCTCCCAAATGACAATCTTCCTGGCTCCTTTTCTTCCAGAGAAATTGATCCTATCTCACTAATCATTCACATGGTAAAGGTAAAGGTAAAGGCCCTCCCGTTGTTCGTCGATTTGCTCGAGCGGGCCCAGTAATGTCTCCATTGGAGACCTTGTTGTTACTGTGTCTGGCATATCGAATACTCTCGGTAGCTTGCCGGGCTCTCCGAGAGGGGAGGAGGAATCGAACTCGGGTCGACCATGTTGGCCGCTTGTAAGGCGAACGCCCTACCGCTGTGCTATCGTTCACATGGAGAGACTGAAACTCAGGCACTATCTTGCTCAAAGTTAAGAAGCTACTAAACAATGAAACTAATATTTGTAACATAAATTTGGCTTATTGTTAGGCTTCTGCCTCATCAACTTACCCCAACCCAGCCTACCATCCTCGATTTAAAAAAATTTGAAAATTCAGAGAAAACAAATTTTTTCATTTTGTAGCAACCCCCTCCCACAAGGGAAGAATATGCTGAAACACAGTGCTTGTCTTTGGGAAGCCGTTCTTTATGGTTTCCTATTTATTCTCCCCTCCTTCCTAACCCTTAAAGTACAATATTTCATCATCATATTCCTTTAATAGCTTTTCTAGTCCCAGTGCTAGTCAAGGACATCAGGTGCTTTTTGACATAATAAAGGGACCTTTTTGAACTACTGATGAAGTACTTTTACTTGGGTCACATTGCCTTTCCTTTTAAGCTAGAATCACTTAGTGTTTCTCCGTAAAATATTGAGGACCATTTGCCTTTGAGATATGCATGAATGAATCACCCTCTTTTCTAATGATACTGAATTGGGCGGAGAGAGGGTGGGGGGAGAAACAGTACCTTGAAGCCTGCTTTTTGCTTTATCATACCAAAATAAGAATACAAATTTTGTAAAAGGGCATTCTTTTCTGCTTTATGAATTAGCAATTCTTTGTTGAACTTTTAAAGGAATTCCAGATTTAATTATTTTTCAATAGCAAAATATTGCACTGCCAGTTATATACCTGTGTATCTTGGGCACTTGAGGAAATGGTCAAAACCACTGCAAGACCCTCAACTGCCATCTCCTGAGAATCTAAACTAAGCTAAGAACCAGAGAACCAGAGAGGCTTAAGGCAGAAAATCACAGGGACTAAATAACTGCCTTCCTCCTTCTGCTTAGATAATAAATGCACTTAGTGTTGCCATGGCAAGGAAACAGGTCTGTTTTTTCCATCTCTCTGTTTCTACCATTATGATATCCAACACCAGAAAATGACATATCATATGACATATCATCATCTTTCCTGCATCATATCCATCCACTTTCTTGCATGTTTCTCTGTCCACTCTGCACTTACTACTAGCTCCACGATCATCTTCAGAGTAATACCCACCTAGAGAAAACATGCTTCCAGGTGAGAATGATGATAAGAAAGTGAGTGGGAAAAGATGAAGGAAATTATTTAGTCACGAGATACTTTATGATCTTAAAACATTCAAAAGGTGGAAATTCAAAAGGGGAAGGGAGAAAACTCTAAGAATGCCTTTCAAAGCCAACTCCACCTAAATGATAAGAAAAATCAATTTTGTTTCCCCTCCCTACCAGCTTGGTCGCAGCAGCCTCTACACTGACCCTCCACCATCTCAGCAGGTCCAGCTCTGTATTTCGTGAATTGCATGGCCACATAGGAGTTGAGACAGCTCTACTTATAAATTTCACAGTGCTCACAACTCTACTTCCTGTCACTGGGTAAAGAGGGATGGGGAATGAAAAAGCAATTCCTAGTCTAATTCCTCAGAGATTTCCACAGGGATTAACTACAAAGATTATAAGTCTATTAGAGAGATACTCAGACAATTAAGAACACAACAAACCCGATAAGAAAGATGTGTTGAAGTCCACCAAGTTTAATGAGCAAGAACAATAACACTGAAGACTCAACCCAGCAACAACCAGCTCTGTCATTCCTTAGAGAATATCTTTAGTGACACAATTGTGAGGATGTTTAATGCACTTAAAGAAATAGTGGCACAAGTAGTCAGCAAAACAGAGGAAAGTATGAGAGCAGAAATGAGAAAATACAATCAATTTATCTATATCTATATCTATCTATCTATACATACATATATATTTAAACTCAATAGAAAATCTGAGCAGTGAAATGATAGCAGCTGAGAAAAAAAAAATCAAGGAATTCCAAATAAGATGGAGGAAACTTCTAGAAAACAATAGAAGATGGGGGAAAAAAGTCTTAAATGAACAGCACACCAAAGAACTATAGGATGAATTCAAGAGGATCACTAAAGTTCCTGGAGGAGAATTTGATGAAGAACCAATGGTTAAAAAACCATAGATAAAAATTTTCCAAGTTGAGTAATACAGGCATCCAGATCCAAGAGACCTGAAGGGTCCCAGGGAAGATAGACTCAAATAGAAAACCTCCAAGACACATTACACTCAGAATAACAAAATCCAAAGATAGAGATAGAATATTAAAAGCAGCAAGATCAAAAACAAATAAAGAGTTTACATATAGAGGAATGCCCATAAGATTCACAATAAATCTATCAAATGAGACAACAAGCCAAAAGAGAATAGGGGGATATTACATAAACTCAATGAAATGAACACATCACCAAGAATACTCTATCCAACTAGATTATCATTCATATTTGAAGGGATGATGCAGTTTCATAGACAGGCAACAGGTTAGGGAATTCATCACTCTAAGCCAGTTTTACAAGAAGTGTTAGAGGAGCTTCTTTAAAAGAAAAGACAAACTTCTCAACATTTGGCATGAACATGGCATTCACAAGTGTAGCTCTTGATTACTCTCTCCTCAAAAAAGGTCCACTCTTAGCTTGCTAAGAGATTTTTATAAATTTTCAGTAAAGAACTAACAATGACAAAAAAAGCATACCTCCACAGCTAGACTGGCTGACTTACATATAGGCATCATGAGAGTATTTGCTCCTTGGCCATTTCCGGAGTATAAAATATTCAATTCCAGCTCACAGTACCACTTCCACCAAGAAGTTGTCATTGACTTGTTGCCATCTTACTGAGAGCAATAATTTGCCAGCACAGAAGCTTCCTTTCAACTTTGTGTTCCTGGCTTTCTGCCTTCTTAAAATAAAGAAAACAGCTCTGTCCCACCCCCAGGACAAAAACAACAGCACCCAGGTGAGTCAAAAGGCAAAACCTTCAGAGCAGATCAATCAGCCCCTTAGGCCAACCTCTCACTGTTGACGTTCATCCTCCTGTTGACGTAAGTGGAAATGTTTTCAAGATGCACTGCTTTATTGGTCAGAGAACCTTGGTCTGGGAGCAGGGTAGGGTTCCTGTGGAGAGCACATTCGATGAGAATGTGATGAACTCTTTCTCATGCAGTTGGTTAAGAGATAGAAAAGGGAAACACAGGCCAGTCCTGATAAAAAAAATTTTCCATGGCAGGAATCAGGAATCCCTCCATGATAGAGCAACTGCTTTGCAGTCATGAGGTCGGGAGTTTGATTCCTGGCACCATTCCACATGCCCAATGTGATCCTGGCATCACAACTGTTTATGATCTCTGGCATCACAACAAAGTATGATCCTTCAGCAAGCATTGCAACCAAGTGGGTGCAACACCAGAAGGTAGGGGGAACATGGGGTTGCAGGAAAAGAAGGTCTAGATTAACGAGCAAAGTAAAGCAAGCTATCAAATACCTGTTTATAAAATATTTTCAGGAGGCCGGCATGATAGTGCAGCAGGTAGGGCGTTGCCTTATGTGCAGCTGACCCGGGTTCAACCCCCGGTACCCGATATGGTTCCCTGAGCTCACCAGGAGTGATCCCTGAGTGCAGAGCCAGGAGTAAGCCTGAGCACTGCCAGGTGTGTCCCAAAAATCAAAACCAAATGTTTTTCTGCAAAAAACTTTTTTTAAAAGTGGTGGAGACTGGTGATATGACAGTGGGAATAATCTTAATACTATTGAACTGCACATTTCAACATGGTTAATATGGTAACTGTTATATTCTGTGCATTTTAAACTAATTAAAAGGCTTTCTTCTTCATTTTAAATGAGGGAAAGATATGAATAAAGACATACTGTATAGGTTTGTCTCCAGGCAAAAATGGATTCAGAAGGTAATTGAATAAAAGCAAGATCTTGCCCAAGAATAAATATTCAATTTAGAAAAAGAAATACGCACACTGTTCAAAATCCCTATGGAGAATTAATTATAAAATGTTAAGAGAATAAAAAGACATTTTGAAGAACCAGAATTGGAGAGGAAGTACAGGGATAAGAGGACAGAGACGGGGAAAGAAAAGGCAGAATCCAGAAAGAGCTGGCAAAGTACAGATGGACATTCTAGAAATGGGAAAAAATTGTCAAACAAGCGCACAGCTGTTTTGGGTGTCTCTAGTTCAGTTCTACATTATTATGAGGACTTTTAGAATGTGCAGAAACAGGGTCAGCATAGTGAGCAGACCATTTACTTTCAATAACAGCAGTTCGTTACTAAGGCTAACACTGGAGAACTAATTCCATGGATCTACCGAAGAGGAAGGAGGAGGGAGACGAGGAAAACCTTGCTAGAGAAGTACCAGCAGAGCTAGTGTTCAAAGCGAGTTGGGCAAATGAGGAACGGCTAAAGAAGGGGAAGTTCGCACACACAATGGGATCACACTCAGCTATAAAAGGAGATGACATCCTACCATTTGCAGCAGCATGGAACATTGTTGTACTCAAATATGTTCTCAAGGGACTGGAGCAATAGCACAGCGGGTAGGGTGTTTGCCTTGCACGCAGCCAACATGGCCGACCCAGGTTCGATTCCCAGCATCCTATATGGTCCCCTGAGCACTGCCAGGAGTAATTCCTGAGTGCATGAGCCAGGAGTAACCCCTGAGCATCGCCGGGTATGACCCAAAAAGGAAAAAAAATTATGTTCTTGAATGTGAGTTGTTGTTCTCAAGTGTGATGTTTAGAGAAAACAAACAGATGAACTAAACAAAACATTGATAAAGGTGGGACTAGATAATCAAATAGTGGTTACCAGGAGGGATGGGGGGAAGTGGGGAGGGGGGAGCAGTGCTGTGAGCAAAGGGACAAGGAGGCAAAGGCGACCCCCACATTTCCTTTACAATGGTGCACCCCTGAAACCCATGTGTTATAATACAATTCTTCAATAATCAAAAGAAGAGTTTCATGAGTCATCCCTACACTCTACTCCAAGGCCCCCTGGCTACCCAGCTGTAGAAAGGGTCAGTCCTCTAAACACAGGCTCTGCAAGGCCCTTTGCTCATGCCTGCCTAAGTGTGGAGTTCAGAACCCTTCCACCAACCCAGTGTAAGAAACTGAGTAAGGGGGAGGTGCAAGTGGAGGGACTGCATGGAGGTGTCCATTTCTAGTTGAGCTTTATTTTTCCTGGAGAATTTAGAACTGTGTAAGCTAGGAGTGGTGTGAATACTCCTGCAGCTGAAAGGGGGTATGAGGCTAATACTTTACAGGGGAAAGATATTTACTTAGACTCCGAAGTGGTGTTGGAATAACAGTTTTTGACAGTACATTATGTGACATACTCAGAAATTATCTAGTGGAAGACCAGAAATGAAAATACTCCAGATAGTTGATAAAAATCAATATCTGTGATTAAAGGATGAAATAATATAAAATGAACAAACTAGGAAAATACATATGGATGTTTAGTACCAAGTGGCAAAAAGAAAAAAAAAATATGATAAGAAAAATAGATCTATGGGGTATGGTGCCGCCAGCAAGTCAATCTGTACCCGTGAGGTGAGTGCATCAACAGCCTCATGGCGCCTTCAGACTTCCAGATACCCCAAAATTGCTGCTGTGCTTTTGGCCGGACCCTAAAAACTTGGGCAAACTTTACCAAGAAAGTAAACAGCCAAAAGTTAGGTATGTGGGAGACACACCCACAAACCACCTCTGGCTCAGCTATATAATTGGAGGCATGGCCTCTCTGGTTCTTGATAGAACTACTTAACGGCCATGATTCCAGAGACCCAGAAACAAATCTCGAAACCCAAAGGCTTTTGGCAGAAATGCATCCGGTCCCTGCAGTAGGTTACTGGCGCTGGGCCACCCCAGGTGGAAATAGGTTTTGTGCCTTGGCCTGTTCCCCCTGGCTGCCCAGTGGCCGCCATCTTCCAGAGGCCACTGGACAGTCAAGTTTGGGCCCTCAGTGACGAGACACATGGGGTCTCAAGGGATGGGGGTGGAGCCAGCCCTTTCCTCCCCACCCCAACGAGACCCCGAGTTGCCGCCCACAAACGGCTTCTTTGGCTCCTGATCAAGCTGCTTAATGGCCATGATCCCAGAGACTCAGGAATAAGTCTTGGAACCCAGCAGGTTTGGGCAAGAAATCCCTCCAGATTTAATTGTTAAAATTTCAGAATTTCAAAATTGCGTGGCCACTACTGCAGCCATGCAACATCATATGTTATTCATAACCAGCAATAGAAAACAAATTGTCTACTGTTGCCTTTTTGGCAGATCTGAGTGTTGGGGTAAAATCCCTAATAATAATGGTGGATGTGGTGTGGAAATGTTGAATGTAATCAAAGTATAGAGAGAGTAATTTGGAAATCATCTGCCCCACAGGTAGGGGAAGGGTGTGGGATGGGGCTATACTGGGGGTTTTGGTGGTGGATAATGGGCACTGGTGAAGGTATGGGTGTTTCATTGTATGACCGAGACTTAATCCTGTAAGCTTTGTAACTGCTCTCACTGTGATTCAATAAATAAAATTATAAAAATAGAAAAAATGCGTAAGTGAGATTTCATACACAATTCAATCATCCTAATCAGTGGCTGAATAAATAGTAGTACTCCTACATTTAAAAAAAGAAGAAGAAAAGAAAAACAGATCTACTGAAGGAAAGACCACGCATCATTATAACATACATAATAAATGATCTTATCTATTGTTTTTTGTAATAAGACATCCAGTGATGCTTAGGGAAACATGTCACTGTCACTATCACTGTCCTCATGTTGTTCATTGATTTGCTCGAGCGGGCCCAGTACACTGTGAGACTTGTTCCTGTGTTTGGCATATCGAATACATCACGGGTAGCTTGCCAGGCTTTGCTGTGCGGGCGAGATACTCTCGGAAGCTTGCCGGGCTCTCTGAGAGGGGCAGAGGAATAGAATTTGGGTTGGCTGTGTCGGCCACATGCAAGGCGAAAGCCCTACTTGCTGGAGGCCATAGATACTGGGAATCTGAGTCAGGGCCTTGCATATGCTAGTCTTATGAACTGCTGCGTGAGCTGTAGTTCAAATTTCTCCTGGTTCAAATTTCTCTAAACTGTTGAAAAACTATGATGTGTGTAATATGAGAGAGCCCCAGAAAGAAAACTAGGAGGTAAGGTTACACCATCCAGAATGGGTCTTACCATACAGAAGAAAGATTGAAGCAAAATTCAAAGGGTACTGTTATTTTTAATATAATGTAAGGAGAGGGTGCATATTGAAAGCTTTTACAGAAAATCAGACAAAAAGATGGTACCCAATGTAATCACCACTGCTGGACTTATCAGCTGATAATATCTGGTATACAATAAAGTGAATAATAAATGAGTGTTAAATGAATAAATTTATGCAGAATAACATTTGATGGATGAAATATGGGAAAACTGAGCTAAGGAAATGGTAATGGAAAGTAGAGAAAAATGGCAAAATATAACAAAATTCATAAATTTAATATTTTAGATTAGAAATAGAGAAAAATATGATTTTAAAGTCTGGAGCCAGAGTGGAAAGTGGAGGGAGATGGTCACAAGTTTTTCACTTTTACCTGTGCACAGAAAAACAGTTTTACACTAATTTTTTATCATTGAAAATATAAATGGGCTGGAGCGATAGCACAGTGGGTAGGGCTTTTGTCTTGCACACAGCCAACATGGCCAACCCGAGTTCGATTCCTCTGCCGCTCTTGGAGAGCCCGGCAAGCTACCAAGAGTATCTTGACCGCACGGCAGAGCCTGGCAAGCTACCCGTGATGTATTCGATATGACAAACACAGTAACAGCAAAGTCTCCAATGGAGATGTTACTGGGCCCACTCGAGCAAATCGATGAACAACGGGAGGACAGTGACAGTGAAAAA